CCAAGAAAGTCATCTATCACGAAAAGGCTCAGGGATAAAGTAACAATCCTGAAGATTCAATCATTATGTCCAACCATAAAACCCAAAACCCAGCAAAGCACATCTAAACTAAAAGCTATATAATATCACATGCCCAAACACTAGGGAGACTTTTACGATAATTTTTTAGAAACAAAAAGATATTTTAACAATATGCCCTTCAATATAATAAAAATGCAAATGATTGGTATATAGAGACTAGCCATTATGTGCAAAAGACATTACATAATTACAATGTACTCAATCCTAAAAATATAAACTATCAAATGAAGGTGAGAAAGAATACAAGATTAGTTGTTCCTTAATAAGATTCTGCACCATTAATTGGGTTCTTTCACAAGGGGTAAACATTCCAAAAAGTGACACTGCACCTATCCCCTTTATTTATAAATATACACATTTTCCTTTACTTTTATAGGAAACTTTAAAGTTGCCCCCCTCAATTAATCAAGTTGTCAAGTTGACTTCTTGCCAACTCTACTATTAATTTAGGAACCCCTTTTAGAAGCATCAAATAAATCCATTTTAATTCCCCTATTTTAATTCTATACTTATTAGAATCCAAAAGAACATGTAATTTTCTCTTATTTTGTATTAGTTATTTTATAATAGAACATTTCAAAAGATCATGACTGAATATCTTTTACTTTATTACTATCAAATTAACTATTACATGCTTGGTAAAAATGTAAACTTTTATTTCATCTGTATCCTCTATCCATAGAAATATATTTTATATGAAAATGGAATAATTTAGTAAAAGAATACATATTATAACTTTAATTTATGCAGTTAAGCAATTTCATAATTTGTTAAGCTTTAAATTATTCATTTAATAAGGGGGAAAAATATATACGTCTGAAATTGAGGGGATATGATAGCCTAAACTCGAGGCTGGATACTGTAATGCACCCCAAAAATGAATTAAAAAAGTACATGAAAGAACTAACAAACATTGGAGACAAAATAGTCTGTTAACTTTTTTATAATTCTTGAAAAAAGTTATTACTTAACAAGAACAAACAACAGTCTCTCAAAACTATCATCACATTCAAACATGACATACCCTGCCACTCCTGAGGAATTTGGAAATATGTCCTGTAACAGCCTGTGGGATTATCTTCTGGAACATGAGGAGGATCAAGCGTAAAAGGATATATCAAATTGGTATAAATAGGTCGATCAAATCCATGCATCTGCCAATTGGAAGGCACTACCCCATCCAGAAAGCAAGAAAAAAAAAATTAAAAAGATTATGAAACTCAACCTTGTAAGATAATTTAAAATTAAACAAGAAAACCAGAGTATTACCAGAGTATTTAGAAACATGCTAACTTATTACAAATAACTGTTAAGTTAAATGTATCTAGAGCAACATAAAATTCACCGAGTAATAAACTTCCCTAGCACTCTTCAATAGTTTTATTGCGAACCAAGCAGAAAAATGTACTAAACTAAAAAACTGCAACACGATATCATATCATTCTTCAAACAAATGATTCAATAATTTAAAATGTGAATAAATACGACAATATTTGTGTTAGGAGAAATGCAAAATTTAAAGCTAGAGTAATATGGATGAAAGATATATCAGCTTACCAGGCAAAGTTTGCCAATCAGAATCCTCAAATGAACAATCATAAAAATTTACAGGAACACTTGTAGGGTTTGGAGCCAGAAAAAACTTCCAATAACCAGACAAAGATTTAATGAAAGGCAAGCCCTTGACCCAGAAGGCAGCGCTATCAAGAGCTCCAGAAACAGCATCGTCGTTCCAAACAGCAGAGTTAGAAACAGAGAGGTCAGCTTTATTACGCTCGTACCAGTATCTAAGAGATCCTATCCATATCCCCCGCCACAGAATGTCAATTTTACAACACAAAAACATAATATCAATCATATTTGATTTATATCCATGCATCAATCAAAACATTGTGTAAGTACCTCAAACCCCTAAAAAACACCAGAATAAAACAACTAGAAGCCATGTGGAAAAACAGAAGTATTATTCTATTTAACAACAAGATTCCAACCCAATATGATAAAATAAAGGAAACATGTATTGAGAAAATTGATTGGCAGCCCAGGCAGGAATGAAACTCAAATCAAAACTACGACAAATCATGCATTCAAACTCAAAGTGAAGATAGTATCTAAAATTAATAAGCAACTAAAATCAAGAAAACAAACCAATAGAATCCCAAAAAAAAAAAAAAAGAATACTGATTGAGTCGAAACTGATGATGAAATCGTCATGTCCCTAACTATCACATAGCTA